AAACCAGCTAGGTTAGATGAAGTAGCTAAGGTACTAGCTAAATTAGCTGAGCTGCTAGCTGAAATAGTTGGACAAGCTGACTGCCAGCTCAGCCTAGCTCGGTAAGCTGATCGAGTACTGATCCAGCTGGATAGACTTACAGCTAGTTGACGAGCTAGGTGAGACTGCGACAGCTTTAGATCATGGGTGATCAAATAACCACCTATGGATCCCAGGGGTGCGATCTAGACCATTGAAAGAATGGACAGCCTAGATGGGGGTGCGAAGGATGAGCGGTTATGGTAAGAGACACCCATCCATTTCCTATAAAAGAATAGCAGTTATGTGGAAAAGGGGGAGACAGAAAGAGATGGGAAAAAAAAAGAATAAAGAAGGGGATTCACGCCCAAGGGAGATCTCTTGACAAAAAGAAAGGAGAATCTTGCCTAAAGCATAATCCACTGGAAATAGAGGATCTGCGGATGAACAATATCCACTGCGAGTCAAAGAAGGATCATGGGTGAGTGTTGGATTCTAGGAAGGGTTCATATAGCCAAGAGACAATCTATGGCCGAGAGTGATTGGTGAAAAGGTTGGAATCAGCGAAAACGATAGATCTGACCGATTGATCGGCTGGTTCACAAGCAAAGGGTGTGGACATGACTGTGTATGGTTTCAGTAGGATTAACACGGTCATTGATCGAGAAATGAGGATGACTCAGATCAAGGGAAGATCACGGATCATCGGGTGTTACAACTAAAAGGCACACGGCGAATAGCCGAGGGAAAACAGCACGGTCATGGTAATGGTGCACAAGCCAAGACTGGATCTGCATGCATTGATAGATCGGGATAGAAGATTCTATAACGGTTACTTATCTATGTGGGGATGGTTGGTTGAATGACTAAGTAGCAAAAGGAATGGTTTATATCCGCAGGATACAGTTGAAGGATCAGATGGGATTCAGCAAGGAACGCAGTCAAGATGGACGTGCACATTGATCAGATTAATTCAAGACGCAAATCAAAGGGGCAACTGAATCGCGGACATGGCTACGGTAAGTACATTATACTGGGAACAAGTAGTTAGTGATTTACATTCTACTAGATGGTTAGATCTATGAAACGTAATGCACAAGATGCACGACTTGTACTGAATCTAAGATTGATTCATAAGCTGAATGGGAGTCAAAGAGAACTGTCCGAAGGTAAAAGATAATCCGACAAGGCAAGCACTGGATTAGAATTAGATCGAAGGGAAAACCGATTTAAGTATAAAGAAAATATCGCTTCATATTATTAGAATGGGTAAACAAATCTAGTTAAATGGCTAAATAAAGTCATAAAAAATATTCTAAGAAAATTGCCTTTTAGTGATTAGATAATTAAAAAAAGGTAGAAATGTTGAGATTTGGTTTGGTGATGGCCTGAACATGAAACGCATCGTTCGTGGCCTTAGAACGGCTTGGATGAGGTGTTTCAAAATTCATCGCAATTCTATTGGAGTGAACCTGTTTGCTTATTTTCGTTTTCTTTTTATGGTTTTTTCTTTTGGACTAGTTTTCCCATTTTTGAGATTATGATTATGGAGATTTCTATATGTTCTACCAGCTTATGTATTTCATCGAAAAAACAACATATTCAATTCATGCACTATGACAAAGTCTGAAAATTCATATTTCCAATTTAAAAATCATGCTAAAGCATACCTCCCTTAATTTTTAAATTTTTCATATATAAACTTTGAAGTCGTGACTATAACTTATATTGACCTAGATGGTGTTAGTCAACCAGTTAATAGTCATGGCTAAGCAATCAGCTGTTATGTCAGCTAAGCATTTAGTGAGTTTAGTGCTATGTCAGATATCATTAATTTTAATATTTTTAAATAATATTTTTTTCTATATATAATTTCATTTAAAATTTTAATATTCTATTAACCTTCATTACCTAGAAATTATTCTATTTTAATCTCAATTTTAATGTTGTAAATTTGCTCTTTTTCTCATGAGCTAAAAATATTTAATTAGCTAAATATATATATAAACAAATAAAATCGAACATAACCAATTAAAAGTCTAGTTATATTTTGATGACATGTATTATCAATGTCGATGTTCCAATTGGTTTAAATTATTAGAGGTTAGCATATTAAGTTATAGAATTATGGTATACGATTGTTTGATTCCTATATTTCATATTTTTGATAGTTTGAATTTTAAAAAATAGAACAGAGATAAGAATCAAATTTATTTTGATTTGGGTTGAATTCACAAGTTTTGTTTAATTGAGTTGGTAATTTAGCATATAAATATTTAGTAGGTGACTTTAGTAAAAAAAAAATATTTACTAGGTGATTACCCGCACCATTTGGAGTAAATATTAATCATAAATTTTTATTCAAAAATATGCATATATAATGTATATAAATACAACTATTAAAATGTTAGCTAATAATTATAATTGCAAATATATATACTGATTATGCAATTATAAGTAATGATTAAAATTGTATTTAATTTGTAATATAATTTCATAAATGCTAACTATTGGTTTTATAATTAATTTTAATAGTATTTTATGTGAATAAAATTGCATATTATGTATAAAAATATAATGTTTAGTAACATAAGTAATATTATATATTAAATTTTTATAAATATGTTGATAAGAAATAGAAAAATAGAGAATATCTTTACAAATCAAATATTTGAGTATTAAATATATAATCGATATAAACTAATCTCTAACTAAATTAATGTTAATGGCATATGATGTAATTAATCTAGTAAGTTGAGCCTGCTTTTCAAAAAATTTTGAGAAGTTCTCTGAGATTGACATCTCAGCATGACGCTCATGTAAATAATACATTGGACAAAGTTTTTTTTTTTGAAATATCCTTATCAATTAATAATATAGATACTAAAATTGATGATTCTAAATTTGATTATCTTCGGTTTAGTTTGTTTATCCATACATAGATATCAATCTTATATTCAAGAAAATATAGTTTCACAAAAATAAATTAATTACATATTTTTATTTCATATACTTAAAAACATATTGAAATTATGTAATTAAAAATAATAAAATATTATAAATTAGACAAAGATAAATAAATATAGAATATTTTTTAAAACAAAATAATAATAATGTGATAGCTGATTTAGCAATCACACGTTTTAGCTGACATAGTAACTGACTCAAATTGCTGAATCAATACTAATAGTGGTATGACTAACAATATTTAGATTAACTAGGTGAATACTTATACGTAACATGCATGTTTTTCTTTTCAACTATTTCAAATTTATATTTTTGTAAAAATAAATATAATCATAATTTATTAATATGTTATTATAAATAATCTTAAAAATTAATTTAAAATATATATTGAATATTATTAAATAATTTAGAGTTATATAAAAGTAAATTAAAGATCTATCAATACTTTTAATTAATTATAACATAATTTTTTTTCACATTTAAATAGATGTTATTTAAGAGTCAGTTAATAAATTTTTTTTTTGAATGGTTTAAAATTTTATATTAAAATTTTATGTATATGTGAACATGTGTCCTCTCTCCACTGCTGACGTGTCAGAGAGCAGAAGAAAGTTGACATTCTTTTATATATAAAACTAGGTGAATAACATGCGGGTTTTTATTTTCAATTTTTTCAAATTTTTTAAATATTTTTATGAAAATTAATATAATCATCACTTGTTATTTACTTACTTTTTAATATTTTATTCAAAAAAATTAAAATATTAAATATTATTTAATAATTTAGAGTTATATTAAAATTAATAAATATCATCAATATATTTAATTAGTTATAACATAAAATTTTGATTAACATTTACACATATATTAACTAATAGTCAATTAATAAAAAAATTTAAATTAATAGAATCATCATTTCATTTGTTATTTGTTAGTATTTAATTATAAATAATCTTTAAAAAATAATTTAAAATATATATTGAATATTATTAAGTAATTTACAGTTATATAAAAATTAAATACATATCAATCAATATTTTTAATTAGTTATAACATAAATTTTTGTTTAACATTAATATAAATATTAATTAAGAATCAATTAATAAAACAAAATTTTTATATTCTTTAAATGCTTTAAAATTTAATATTAAATTTTATTAATTAAAATTTAAGTGACATGTATCAATTTCTCCAATGCTGATGTGTCAAGCATATAGAGAAAGTTGGACAACTTTTATATATAAGATATCAATTACAGCCATGACTTTAAACTTCAGGTATGAAATTTTTAAAAATTAAGAGTTGAGGTGAATTTCAGCATGGTCTTTAAATTTGGATATGGATTTTTACACTTGGTCATAGTGGAGACATGAATATGCCGTTTTCATGTATTTCATCTCATTTAATTCACTTTTGAACAAATATTATCATTTGGCAAAAACTAAAACTAAAAAAAAACTAGAATAAAAAAACAATACAAAGTTTCCAATAAGCATTGCACATTTTGCAATAGTGTGGAATCAATCAATACTCTCGCCTCTCAAATGTTAAGATGGCCTCAAGCACAAAGATTCTTGTCCTTATAATGGCCTGCTCTAACAATTTATCCAACTGCGTCAACTTGATTGTCTTTAAGTTGAATATCCCATTCCAAGACGATGCATTTTCTACTTTTTAGTTTTTTAGTTTTTTTTTTGAACCTTAGTTTTTTTTTTGAACCTTGGTTTTTTTTTTCTTAATGTAAGCATTTCCGTCATCATCAACGTTGCAATATGTCATCATTACATGTTAGCTTCATGTGATCATTAACTTAAAACTTATAATATGTCATCACTACATGTTAGCTTCATGTGATCATTTATTGAACGCATGACATCCATTTTGCCTAGACTCTTGAGTGATGTCACATTAATTTTCTTGTTGCTTATTTTAAAGAGAATTACATTACATCAGTATAATATTGAAAACTTGAAATTGAAGCAATACATATAAAATGAACCATCTTTTTTCCTGACAACAATTTCTTCTCTACCCATCCCAGACTTTTTGGGACTTCATTCACCTACACACAGATACATTCAAACCAAACCAAACCGAAAACCAAACAAGAACATTTCCCATCGCTTATGGCTCAGGATGGGTTTTGGTTTAGCCTAAACCCAATCATGTAGAAACCGAAATAAACTTAAATAGAAAACATCACTAGGGATATATTTGTGTCGTTGTCTCTTTGTTTTTATCAAAACCGGTTCCAAGAGAATGCAACGGGACTTCTCACTTCGTGTTGAGTATTGGTCCAAGTGATGGAACCATACTCAGCCTTGTTCGTCAAACTCACTCCCTTCTTGCTAACAAACGTGACCGTGTACCTCTTCTTCTCTCCCACTTTTCTAAACGCAAGCTTCGACGGTTTAACAGAGATCCCAACACTAGGCGCTCCGCTAACCACCACCTTGTAAACCGCGTTCGCTGCACCGACATTGGTTACCTCCCGAGTGTACCGTACAACCCTTTTGCCCCCAAACAAAACCGAGAAACTCGGGTAGTTAAGCTGGCCAGGATTAGAGAACTTCTTCAAGCAGTTAACGCTAGGTCGTTTCACGATCGCCACGATATGATCTACTGTGTAGTCTAGAGAGCACAAGAACTTGATGTATTCCTCGGTCGAGATGTCGTAGACAAGACCCGGCGTGAGAGCCTTAAGAGGATCTACATGGCCCGAGCCGTGAACATGTGGGTTAGAGAGACTGTTGTCTGCAGCATCACGAAGAGGAGAGTTTGTGTTGTCAAGTGTGTAAGCTGTGGTCATTAGCGCTGATTTGATAGCACTTGGGCTCCACTCAGGATGAGCTGCTTTCAAAAGACCGGCTAAACCACTGATGTGTGGGCATGACATTGACGTACCTAACAAGAACCAAAACCCATAAATAATCAATAACTGAATATGTAATCAAAATCATCAAATTTGTATGATCTCTTTTGCAATGGGAACTTAATAAATGAGAATCTCCCAAACTTCATGACCATAGATAATCAATCATTGAATATGCCAACAAAACAAAGTTCCAAAAATTGAATCTTTAAACCCGTGAAGTACCTGACATGATGTTGAATTGGGTCCTCCTCGAGTCCTTCTCAAGACCTGTGGGACCAATAGCATCGGACCAACCAGCCAAAATGTTAACTCCGGGACCAATGACGTCAGGTTTCAAGATCTCCGGTGTAACAGTGTTTGGACCTCTCGAGCTAAACGCAGCAACCACAGGAGAAGGGCGAACATCAAGAATCGTTCCTTTGAAAACAAGAACAGCCATTGGATTCGTCTCCGATTTGACGTATTCTCTAAGGAGATCACCTGTCTTCTTCCCAACAGCAATTGCCGGGAGCAAATGACTATCCGCCACAAGCTCCTCACCACTCGCCGCCGTGTTCGCCATTATCATCCCTAAACCTCCTGCGTCTCTCACCACAGCTCCTTTCTCCACACGAGCGTTCACGCCTCTGTCGCAAACCACGATCTTGCCTCGAACCGTCGTGGGATCGAGCGAGCCAGGGAGACAGAGATTGCTCGAGCTGCTGTTTCCTTTGTTGTAAACCAATTCGAGCGGTTTCGTCCCCATTCCTTCGCCGCTGTAAAGCGAGACTCCGACGAGACGTTTCCCGTTTCCGAGATTCGCGAAAGCCGGGAAATCTCGATCTAGGGTTCCGGCTCCAACTGTCATAACCCACGGCGCGACGTTCGCGACGGAGGATCTAGTCGGACCGCTGTTTCCGGCTGAGCAGGAGACGAAAACGCCTTTCTCCATAGCGGAAAACGCTCCGATCGCGATCGTATCACGGTAATACGGAGCTGATCCGCCGCCGAGAGAGAGAGAAAGCACATCCACGCCGTCTAGAATCGCTCGATCCATGGCGGCGAGAATATCAGATCCGAAACATCCGGTACTCCAACAGACCTTGTAAGTAGCGATACGAGCACGCGTCGCCATCCCTCTCGCCGTACCCGCGGCGTAACCGAGGAAACTCGCGTTTCTCACGGCGGATCCAGCGGCGGTGCTCGAGGTGTGGGTCCCATGTCCGTCGACGTCACGAGGTGAAACAGACTCACGCTTGCTCGAGAAACCACCGCCTGAAGCCATTTGAAACCCTTTAGAGAAGCTCCTCGCTCCGATCAGCTTCTTGTTACACAATTTCGAATCGAAATCAGTTCCAGATTCACACTCTCCTTTCCACTTAGACGGAATCTCCGGCATACCGGAATCGTCGAAACTCTTGGACTCAGGCCAAACACCAGTATCCAAAACTCCGATAATCACACTATTAGAGGCTTGGCCTAGATCCTGACCACTGTACCCAGCAGCGACACCGAATTCGGAGTTGAGACCGAGAAATTCGGGAGTACGAGTCGTGTGAAGAGTGTAAACAGGATCCTCGAAGACATCGAGGATTGAATCGGAGCGGAGGAGTGATTCGGCTTCGTTAGAGTCGAGGAAAGCGGAGAAACCATTGAAGGAGGTTGTGTAAGTGTAGAGAAGAGAAGATTCCGATTCCGATTGTTGTTGGGTTGAGAGAGATTGGAGCTGTGAAGTGTACCAATCGTGGTGAGTTGGGAACGAGTCCGGTTTATCGGAGTGTTTAACTCGGACGATGTAAGTTTTTTTTGCTTCTGTTGAGTAGAGGAGGAAGATGAGGAGGAAGGATATGGTAATGGAGGAAGCCATGACTCTTGTGGAAGCAGAGAAGAGAGTGAAGAAGAAGAAGAAGAAGAAGAAGAAGAAGAAGAGAGAATAAAGGAGTGTTTGGGGATTTTTAAAAGTTAGAAAAAAGCGGCCACGTTAGGGTCGTGTTACCGTTATTAATTAAATAACGGAAATGCCATCGTCGGTGCGTTTTTCGAAAGAAGTGTGTGTGGGGGAACAGCTGGAGACACGATACGTGTAAAAGGGGACTCAATGGCTCTGTTTTAGTTTGGGCCCATTCTTTCTTTTATTGGTTTTCTCAACGTTCTTTTGTTCTTTTTCCTAATTATATTTTTTCTTCTCGACGCTCTTTTGTTTCCTTGTTTTTTTCGTATAAAGAAAAAATTAACATAGTTTTAATAATATCATAGGTGATAAGCGGATTAAATTAAACGAGATTGACGGAGTTGATATGGCCATTTCTCCAAAGTCTTCCATGTCGTCATCCAACCCAAACATTGATTCGAACTCTGGTAGGAGTTGAAAAAATCTGGATTAATCTGAACCGAATTCAAAGGAACAAAATCAGATTCGTATAATCACAAATATCCAAATCGTTTTAGAAAAAAAAAATATTTTGGATATTTGAACTGAACCAGAAGCCAATTGATATCTGAATGAATATCAAAATATCAGAAATTCAATTATATAAGCAAAATATTAATATATATTTAGATTTATGCAATGTTAGCTATAAGATCATTTCTAAACTACTCTTTCTAAACTACTCTATCAAAGACCGAAATATCTATTACTAGGTTTGATCTTGGAAACCTAATTGACTTTTGTGGTTGGACGGTTGATTTCAGATAGTATTCTCATCGTTCAAGAGATGTTCCATGGATTGCGGACAAATTCATCATACAAAAATAAATACATAGCAATTAAAACGGATATGAGTAAAGCTTATGATAGAGTTGAATTGTCTTTCATTAAACACTTATTATGGAGATTTGGTTTTGCGGAGAAATGGATAACATGGATGATGCGGTGCATTACTTCTGTAAGATACAAAGTTCTTTTAAATGGACAACCTTGAGGGCACATAACTCTAGGGTAGGGACTCTGTCAAGGAGATCCGTTTTCGCCATATTTGTTTATCATATGTACGGAAGTTTTAATTGCCAACATAAGAAAAGCTGAGAATGAGAAGTTGTTAACGGGTCTTAAGATAGCAAGAGCAAGTCCATGAGTATCACATTTACTTTCTGCGGATTATAGTGTATTCTTTTGCAAAGCAAACAAGGAAGAATGCCAGAAGATACTAAGCATTCTCAGACAGTATGAGGGAGTTTTGGGCCAACAAATCAATTTTTAAAAATCATCAGTTCAAGTTGGACATATGGTTCCGGAGGAAATACAACAGGAATTGAAATAAATTCTTGGAATTACAAAAGATGGAAGCACATGGACATATCTTGGCATTCCAGAGAGTATGGGGGAGCCAAGACCAAGATTTTTACTTTTGCCGTAGACAGACAACAAGATATGATTAACAGTTGGACATCGAGGTTATTATCAAAAGGGGGAAAAGAAGTTCTAATCAAATCGGTAGCGTCTGCAATGCCCACCTTTGTTATGTCCTGCTTTCGGTTACCAAAGTCAACAACAACAAAACTTTCAAGTGCAGCAGCACGGTACTGGTTGTGCTCTGATGGACAACACCGAGGAATGTATTGGTTAGCATAGACAAAGATGTGCAGAGATAAGGCGGAGGGGGGAATGGGATTTCGTGATGTGGAAAACTTTAATACAGCTTTATTGACAAAACAATTATGGCATTTGATAGATAGACCTAATTTATTTTTTGCGCGAGTCAAGGGACGATACTTTCGGAAAACAAGTCCTTTATATCCGGTACATTCCTATTCACCGTCCTATGGATGGCGGAGCATAATATCAGCTAGATCTCTAGTTAATAAAGGGCTAATCAAAAGAGTCAGTTCGGGTTGCTCTATCTCTGTATGGAATGATCCGTGGATACCGTCTTCTCGCCCAAGATCAGCAACTTGTAAGGGTTTTAACTATTACCCGAATCTCATGGTTAATCATCTGATTGACCCACAAATATATGGAATATGAGATTGATAACAACCATTATTGATCCAATGGATATCGAGATTATTTGTGGAATTCCCATTAGTAGATCTTACAGGCCAGATTCATGGGGATGGCATTTCACAAAATCAGGGAAGTATACGGTTAAATCGGGGGTACAAAACTGAATATCAAATACCCGATGAATCCCTAGAGGTTGTATATGGACCAAATATAACAGCATTACAAGCTCATGCTTGGACTTTAAAATGCCCTCCAAAATTATGATACTTTATATGGCAATCAATATCCGGATGTCTCTCGGTAGCATCTAGGTTACAATCCTGCAGAATACAATGTGATACTCAATGTGCACAGTGTAGAACTAAAGACGAAACAATTAATCATGTTCTGTTTGAACTCCAGCTCTCCAAACTTGGGCTTTATCCCGGATCCCAACACCCTCTGGTGTTTTCTCTATAACATCGGCTTACAAAAATTTTGATCATCTCTTTTGGAGACTACCAAAGGATTTGGAAAATACCCAATTTTCATGGATTGCATGGTATATTTGGAAGGCACGGAATGAGAAGTTGTTTTCGAATATAGATGTAGACCCACAAACTACATTAATGATAGCGGAGACAGAAGCGGCTTTATGGGAAGAGGCTCAAAAATCAGAACAGGAATTTATCCTCAGCAATACTGCCAATCCATCGATCCACCCAATGGCACTCACATACGAAGGCTGGAGGTGTTATATTGATGGTTTTTGGAAAGAAATGGATACAACAGGATTAGGATGGTACTATTTCAACGAAGGTGCTACTGATAAAATTGTTGGTGCACAAAAAATACGGAGAAGTCTTACATCACTACATGCAGAGGTGGAAGCCCTTATTTGAGCCATGCATTGCATGATAGAGAATCAGAAGACCGAAGTAGCTTTTACAGCGGACTGTTCGGTTTTGGTGAAGGTGGTGTCTTTCTCCGACGAATGGCCAGCTTTTGCTCTACACCTGGAGGAAATTGGGAAGATGAAGGAGAAGTTCACTTCTTTTACTCTTTCGCATATCGCACGTGCAAAGAATTCGAAGGCAGATAAACTAGCTAGAAGTGCTCGTGTCTACCCTCACGACGTCATTTATGTAAACTCGGTACATCTGGTTTGGTTAGTTGAACCATTCTAGGTACTTAGGCTGTCGAAAAAAATAAATTAAATTATACAAAGGTTGCTTTACGACTTTGAGATTTAAATTTCTAAATCCTAGTGATCAACAGGTGCACAAAGAGTTTGGTAGCACAAAAGAATAATAATGAGACAAAAATCACATCGTCTAGAGTTCCTAAAGACATATATTTATAGTGCTTTATGTTTTTTATGGTCGGACTTAGGATTTCCTTGAAGATAAAATCAGACACAAATCAAATGGTTTTAAAGGTTTTTATGATGATTTTAGCTTGGCTGTGGGTCAGGCTTCTCTAAAACCACTTAGAGTAACTTTGGCTGCGCATCGGAGGTTCCTCAGGCTGCTTGACAAGACTTATTGAAGCTGATCTGAAAATCTAGTTTTTCTCCAATTTGTAATGCATTTATCTAAGTAATCTGAAAAAAGTATTGAAACTATAAATATACGAAATTATAATAAAACATTTAAAACTGAATAAAACACTTAAAAAAGCATAAAAAACCTTATGCCATCTCTAATAGGACTGCATAACACCAAATCAGTTTCAATGGAATTGCAAAATTAACATTATTTTACTGTTTTGGTGTTTTTTCTACAGTATCACACCAAATTTGATGTGGTACTGCAGCAACACCAAATTTTTTTTTTTTTTGTTTTTAGTAAAATATGTATTGATATAATATATTTAACTATACTAAATTAAGTATGTTCTGTACTATAACATGCAATGTGATTAAATTCTGTATTTATAAAAGAAAATATATCTTTTTTTTTGTATCAACAGTCTAAGCACCTAAAACGATTCGATAATCCAAACTAATGGTACTGAGTTTACATACATAACGTTTTGAGGGTAGATTCGAGCACTTCTTGCTAGATTATATGCCTTCGTGTTCTTCTCGCACTGGATATGTGATATTGAAAAATCTGAACTTTTTTTTAATCTTTACAAACTCCTCCAAGTGTAAAAGAAAAGTTGGTCATTTGTTGGGTGTAGACACTATTTTCAACAAATTCGAACAGTCTGTTGCAAAAGCTACTGGAATCTTCTGATTCTCTCATATCAAAGCATAGCCCAAATAAGGGCTTCCATCTCGGCATGTAGAGGCGTTAGACTCCTTATATTTGGTGCTCCCGTAATTTTATCCATAACATATTCCTGAAAATAATACCAGCATAGCCCGGATGTCAAATCCGTATCTTTCTAAAAACCATCAATATAACACCATCATCCTTTGTATGTGTATATTGAAAATTCCGAAGAATTGATATTTTTAGGTGGAGTTGATTCTTGTTTAGACCTTTATGCCTTCTCTCATATTGTTGCTTCTGTTTCCATTATCTTTAGGATAACGGATAACTTGGGGATACACTTTTTTTTTATTCCTTGTCTTCCAAATATACTATGTTATTCATGAAAATTGTGTATTTTAGTCTCCTTAGAAAGTCTCCAAAAAAATGATCAAAGTCATTGGAGGTATTGGTATATGAGAGAAAGCCCAAGTTTGCAGAGCAAATGCACCTTAAAAAAGATATGATTAATAATTTCTTCATCTGCTCTACACCGTGTACATTGTATATCACATTGTATTACACGGATTCGTAGTCTAGCCGACGCTGATAAACACCCAGATATTGATTGCCAAATAATTTGTTTTAACTTTGGTGGACATTTTAGTTGCCAAATATATCTGAATTATTCTGTGTCTTTAAATCTTTTAGTTTCTATTAATATGAAATGTTCGTTTATAAAAAATATTACACAAAGTTGATTAAAATACGTGATAAAAAATTTAATTAAAATATTGGAAAAATAAAA